CAGAGTTTTTGCAGTTTCTGTTAGTAGGTGTCTAAAAAATTGGTTTGATTTTTTTCTGATGATCCTGTAATTCCTACTGCCTCCAATTTTCCTTTATTCTTTATTTTTTTTTAGAACTATTTGGGGTGGTTTTTTTTGTCTTTTTTTTTTTTTTTTTTTTTTTTAGGATCCTCAGTTATACACCACTCCCAGTCTCATTCCAAACCTAAAAGAAGAGATATTCTGACAGGCTTGGGAAAGCAATGTTTTAGCAATTGCATCACAGAGATAATTTCAAGGCAAATCAGGCATATCCTACATCAAAATGGATGGATCTTGTAAGTGCACACTTCTAACACTTAACAAGGTAAATAGGGACAATTTCTAATGGGTTATTTTCAAAAGCAGTTAGGTGCTAACCCTAGTGAAAGTAAGTTATGACTTTGGAAATGTAACCTTTTACATATTCTTCTTGTTTGTTTTAGTTTACATAGATAGTATCTTCTTAATGGGATGACTGATCTTTAATATGATCAACTGTTATTACACTCTACTGGCAAAAAGATTGCAAAGTGTTAAGTTGATTAATGTAACTGTCAGGTGAAATATTCATAAATTAACTGACCTTCCTCACATACAAGAGATAATATATATCAGGGTTTATGTGCTTTACTGACTTTGCAAAACACAGCCTCTGACTTAGTAAATGCATGCTAAATTATAAACATGAAGAGAAGGGAAAAGAGAAAAAAACATGCTTTTTTTTTTTTTTTAACTTTTTATTTCACATTGATCTTTAGAAACAGATCCTTTTACCGTATGTTTACACAAAACATAGTCCTCATCCTGATTTGAAATTTTGGACTGCACTTAAATTAAGTTATTAATTTAAAAAGTTAATAATTAAAAACTGTTTCTGTGAAAATCCATGGATCAAAAGAGAGGGAGAGGCAATAATGCAGTGTCCTGTGAGCAAATATAAGCATTGTGCTGTTTCTCTTTTCCCCATTGAACAGAACGAACTTTCAGCACAAAACTTGGATCCAGTGCTCAGTTAAGGAATGGAGCTTGTGTAGCAGGCAGTTGATATGGGTTCACTGCTGGCTAAACACTGCCTGTTGGAACCTGTCCTCAGCAGTATCTTCTGGGAGAACATATCTTTTCAAAAGAAGCAACATCATGTGTGTTAAGTGAAGGACTCACTAGCTGTATCAGGAAAATAAACAGTGCATTTCATGTGGACATTTTTTTCCAAAACATTTTTTCAAGTTAGGAGTATAAACAGAAAAAAAGTCTCTAGGTACAGTGTCACATGGCATACCTGTACTCAGTCTTGCCTTAAACACTATGACTTGGGTCTGTGCTACGTACCAGCCTATGTATTCTCAATCCTCTTTCAGAAGACCTAGCATATAAATATGATAGACAAGGTGATACTTGTTATCCTGAATGGCACTATTTTTGGTTTTCCTCTTCCCCCAAATCCTGTTGAGCTACTCACCCAGTCATTGCAGATAGTTAGTGACCAGTAGAATTGAGTAACTGTGCATTTCACACAATTTTAATTGTTTTAGGTAGCCTGCTATGTGGATGTGTAAATTCTTTAAAGAATTTATCCAGAGAATACTTTGGAAACAGTTTTTTGTTTGGTGTTGGTGCTTCTTTGAATATTAGTGTGGAACAGTTCTAAAAACTTGTTTGAGTGCTGTGCTAGAGCTTTTTGTTTCCAGTATAAACTGATGGAGATCAACAGTTTTTTGACACTCCTAGTACCAAGTGCTTATTAAGTGTTTATATCTATAATTGTGTCAAATTATGTTAATTAAGCACTGAAAGACACTAGTAAGTTGAAGTGCTCAAAAAGTGCATTACTCTGAGTGTCACCCAGGGGCTCTTCACATCAGATGCTTGGGGGACAATTTTTTTCCTTCCAAGCACCTTTAGAGCACTATGTCTCAAAGTGTCTTTCTAGCATTAATTAAATTTAAAAAGCAAGTACCAGTTAAGTGCATTGATTTACTCTAATCTTTTGAAATACAAAAATGCCTTTCTTTTTTACAAGTCATCATTTTCCTCAATTGTCCCCCCACACCTTTTCTTATTGAGTATTCAGCTGCTAAAACAACCATAGGAAAGTCTGGGAATTAACTCCCATTATGAATTATTAGGCAGAAAATAGAACTATTCAGAGGATCAAGTACCCATGTTAGGGTATCTAGGTAGCCTTATGAGGAAAAATCGTATTAGCTTAAGAAAAGTGCTGTGTAGGCCTGTGTCACTCTGAATTTGTTGTTCTTACGCCTGCCCCTACCCCTCTGGATTACTTATGCTGCAGGTTTCTAGAGTAGCTGCAGCAGACAACAGTTACAGTTGTCTTCCAGTGCACTTACATAATTTGTTGGTCATTAGCCATATGTTAGAGTCATGTACATGAGCTCCCAGAGACTAAATGGTTTGGCCAAGATGATGTAGTAAAACAGAAGCTCATGCCCCACATTAGTTGATTGATCTCCACTGATACTGTAAGATGGAGGAGCTTCCTATGGCACTATAGGTATATAGCATGAGGACGGAAGAAGTAAAAATACATCTTCTGAAAGAGAAGAGTTTGAAGATAGAGATGGCAGCACAAGGACACCAAAATCTAATATATGTTTTCCTGAGAAGTAAAAAAATAAAAAAACTCAAGCAAACCCAATGAAACAAAACATTCCGAAGTCTGATCAAAAATAAACAGGCACTTTAAAGAATGTTATTATTGAATATCCTACTTCAAGGGCTTTTCTGTTTCATGCTAGAAAATTCTTCTTTTAGGTGTGAGGATAGCAATACTTACATTACCTAATTCTGACTAGACTCTATTAATATTATTTTTTCACTTTTCTGAGAAACTGTATTTAATCCCTATGTCAATGTGCTGAGAAAGATAATAAAGATATATCTGAACTTTAAACATCTTTAATCTTTCTCTTTAGCTTTCATGCTTGTTGCACAGCCTCAACAATCAGATTTCAACATTCCATTCCTTAGAAAAACTTACAGATTTAGAAACCATAGTGAGATAAGATTCTCCTTTGACTCAAAGACACATTCTGCTACATCTTTGAAAGGTCTTTTAAATAACGATGTCTATTGAAATTTTCTAAAGAGGTAGAATTTTATTTGGTAATGAGTAGAAGGTATCAGACAAGGTGGTGGGAGTCCACAGGAGTGTAGAGGTGAGTTTTATACTCCAGGTAAAGAAGCTTCCCAGTCAGTCCTCACTGGAAGCATTATCTGAAAGGTCCTTTTAGTCTAGAGTTTGTAAATGGATTGTTCTTAACTTCATTCCCTGGGGAAAGATATCCATTTCACAAGCGTCACTCAATGTAGGAGGAGTGAAGAAACCAAGAACTGGGTAAACATTGAGCTTGTTTCACCAGTTCAAAGTAAAAGATACTGTCAGGGCATCTGAAGCCTTTCTCAGTAATTGCTTACCCTGTGTATGTATTAAAGCAGCGTTCACTGCTGTATAAAGCAGAGAGCTTTATGCTCTGCAGATCCTGATCCAGTTCTTACCTACAGGTTGATCCAGTTGTTGGTGAAGCCAGTTACCAAGGGACTGATTTAGAGTGAGCTGAATAAAGTCTCAAGAGTATCAATTAAACATAGAAAAGAAAATTTGAATTGTGATTAGTTTGAACTGTTATTGTCTGCTATTTGGAAGGAAAGGAATCAGTGGTCTGATCATCTTCTGTAAGTTTACCTATTATACACCATATCCCTCTTTTCTGTCCTTCTAGCTACTTGATTGCCTATTTATTTGCAATAGTCTTTGGAGGTAATGAACACATTAAATTTAGATAGAGGGCTCAGATCCACTGTTGGCACAGCCCTGCTGAAATAAGTGGAATTAGCCAGGAGAGTCAAAATACCTTGTATTCAGTGACCATAAGCTATCTGGCCTGTTTATAACTTCTAAAATCCCTGCAGCGGATGCTGGTGTGTGGTTGTACAGTGTAATTTTAAAGGGCAATACATATAGGTCTGAAAACCGGAAGGCATTGAAATATAGAATGTATTACATTACCTGGATGAAATAATTGTCAGAATCAGTAAAACTAAGCATTTGGAGGAGGGATGGGTGAGAGAATTATTTTTGCTTTTGGGCAGTGTTTCATTTGGTTATGTAGTTGTTTGGTTGGTTGGTTTTTATCTTGAGTAAAAGAAATCTGGACTGGGTTGGATTCGGGTCTTTTAAATATGAGGTACATACCATCCACTGAATGTTGCGAGTAGTTAGACAAATGGTATTGGTTACTGTTATATAAATTACTTTGTAATCAAAGCATCAGCCAACAGATAGCTTCCAGCATTATTATTGTTGTACATGCTGCCAGTGTTCACTAATTCCAGGGTATGACAGGTCTTGAAAATCTCAGATCATCTGGCAGACCTTAGGACATCTGCTGCTTGTCTGTCTAGGAAAAGAAATACTGATGAGCATACAAAATGGGAGGATCATTAAGGTCCAAATTTAAAGCCGCAGCCATATAAAGAACAGGGCAGAAATGGGCACTAACACAGTGAAGTTAAAAAGATAAACTTCTAGGACACAGGAAGAAAGAAAATCCTAGGAGCAAAAAGAATGGACTGTTAACTGAAAATACATGCCATGATATCCTGGCAGTGCATACCACTTTTTACTGATGGCCATGAGGGTTTCTGGGGTATGGCTGTACAAAACTGTGGAGTACTGAAAGTGCCACTAAGGTTTAAGGTCTTTGACTCATGAAAACAGAAATGGTGACTGTCTACTTTTTAGTTTCCATTGTCCCATTTGCATGAGGGAATGAAAATGTATCCTTCAATAAAAATGTCTTATTTGATGAATATCTTATGCTACAGAAATTTTTTAATAAAATGTTCATACATGACATACTTGGCAATTTTTTTCCATTGCTCTAAACTTGTATATATCTTCCTTATGCAGTCACTTAGTACATAAGTCCAATGATATGTTTTTCCCTCTACACCTACAGTAAATTCGTTTTCATAAGGATGAGAAAGTGCCTCCTGAGACAACACATTGCTGAGAAGAATTAGAAGACCAAAGGTAATAGATCTTTTAATTTAAGATAGAGCCACTTGCCATTTCTGTTCCTTTAAAAAGCAGTCAATTCTAATTATAGAGATTTATCTCGGATTAAGGAAGAAAAATACTAAAGTACTGCTTCTTCTACTGCAACTCCGGGGTGAAGGCTTTTCTAAATGGGAATTATGCATAGTGAGGACAGTAAAGTGACTGCCATCAAATTCGGAATTAACTGTTCATGTGATGGGAATTTTATTGTTCTGAAAATACTTTCCTCTTAACTTTACATTTAAAAAGTGGGGGGAAAATAGGCACTACTGGCAATTACCAATGTTGGGGAAGAAAAAAAAAGAAATGAGGGAGAGGCTTTTTGAAAAGAGGAAAGCATTTCTAATAATTCTTGTAAAGTAATATTCAATTTAATCCACAGAATATTAGAATTCCAATGGAAGAAAACCTTTGTGAACCATCTTAACTCAAATATTTCCAGACTCCAACACAAACAGTGAAGGTTTCAATATAAGCTACATACACCCTGGCTGAAAAAGATTAACAGAGAAAGAATAACTTTCAGTGTAGTTTCAAAGACAACTGTTGCATTTCCTCATCTTCCCCTTTTGCCTCATGTCCCTGAAATGTTTTTGATTTTATCATATCTTCCTTTTTTCTGATAGCGTTTGTTCTCCACATGGAAATTCTTTAGTACTTATCAAGATATCTGGTATCCTTCTCTGAGATATCATTTATCATGGGACTGTTTATCACTTTCCTTATCTGGGCCACAGATGTACTGGCCTATATTTGGAGTCTTCGTTATATTCTGAGCAATCAAAAAATCTATGAAAAGGAATGGGACAACAAAAATCAATCCACGTCCAACAAGCAAGGATTCACAGTCTTTGGAACTTTAAAAATATTCAGCTCTTCTGTTGTTCTTGTCACCCTCTCGTTGCAGGAAATGGGATCTGACTTTAGTACACTAAAAGATCTGCCTTGTGCCAAACTTAAGGGTATTTCGTTGTTACCCACATGGGGACAGTGGTAGAAATGCTGTGCTACCTCTCTCAAAAATCCTGGTATTGATATTGCACAGTCTGCAATATTTAGCCCTCAGTCTGTTTCTGGGGCAGAACTAAGGAATCAGACTATGTTTTCAGTATATTTTATTATGCATATCTGTGATCTTATCCTGAAAACTAAAAGCCTCTGTCAACGCATATATTCATAAAATATGAAGCCAGAGAAGACTTTTAACATCCTCTGTTATATGTAACAAAACCCTATATATATTCCTAGCATGAGTATTTTCTGTAAGCAACTTTGGTAGAGGATCAACACGTGGCAAATCCAAGAATTTGTAATTAAAATAAATAATATAAATAAATAATATAAAATAAAATAAACTGAACAATATGTATTTTGTTTTTTCATGTTTTATTAACTTAGTGTTCTCAAACTAATATACTACTGGATGATTAGAAGTTGTTTTCTTCCAACTGCACGATACTTTCTTACTTATCACCCTGTTCTTGTATTTCTTAACACAAATATGCCTGGAGTTACATTTTCTTAAGAAAATAGCCACAAGATGAGAAGTCATCAAGGCGGAACTCTTGAAGGGTATCTACGTGCACAAAATTAAGTGATAAATATGTATGAAAGATTAGTGTAAATTTACAAGTTTATCCAAAATTATCACAATGCAATCTAAATCAGTTTTAAAGTAAAATGTGGCTAAGTTTAATTGCAATGGTTATTTGATATAGTTTGCTGAGTATAGATGAGAGCTGGAAATCTATTCATATATTGATAAACTTCAAGAAGAGACCGAACAAACAGAACAAATAACAAGCCCTGTGACAGTGCAAACATCTGTTTGAATTTTGAGTATTGGACTTTTGATATGTTATTTTTCTGAATAATGAACAGAGGCATATGCTCTACTCGGACTTGGCCATGCATGGCCCACAGGATACACTAAGGATGTAAGCAAAAGTTCAGGGCCTTTGCCTAGTTACAGAAATGTATCTTCAGTAAACTGGACTCTATTATTCTGTTAAGCCTCCTCCAAAGCATAAGAACAGGGATGAAAAGAGATACTTGGCAGCATGGTGGGAGGTAATGAGAACTTTGCAGAAGACTTCAGGATTTAATGAGCTGTCCTGAGATCTCCCTTTCTCCAGCACTAACAGATTAAATGAACGCCTGGACTTATTTTGCAGCTGCAATATGGACCACATCTCTGTGGCTGCCCCATGAGTCACCACAAAAATCCCTCACAGTACCTGTAGAAGTTCTAAGGCCAGGCTGGTCCCACACAGAGATAACATTTCAGCTAGAGAGATCACCCAGCAGGAAAGATTTGATCAGTCAACACAGGTGACGAGAAGTGCAGTACTGCTTTCTCCTGCAGCCTGGACAGGAGCCTGTTGAAATATGTTTGGGGCACTACCAACAATCAGTTGTTCTAGACCCTGTTTGGAGGTGTATTTTACTTACTTTTTAAATGGCTTCACACTGTTGCTGTGCTTTCCCAAACTAATACTGTGTTCCAGTTCCTCTTAATTAAATTTTTTGTTTTGTACCAAAACTTTTGGTTGTAAGTGGGAATGTATTGTCCAGTTGTTGATCCCAGAAAAATATTTGTTTCTCCTTTTCTTGTGGGGGGATACTGAGCGGTTTTTAATTCAATTTTTTTTGAGAACTCTGACTTCTGAACTTGGCACTTGCTGCTGTTGAAAACTCCTGACATAGCACTCAAAATACTGTATATGGTGGGAAAAAAATATTTCCAGTAAATGAAGTGGTAGTAACTCAATACTGCAGTCATTAGTAAACTAATTAGAAATCAGTAGAAATCTAAGAGTAAGTTTTTTAGCAAACCTGAAGAAGGCTTCCAGAGTTAATGAATGATTCAATCCATAACTGGCCTGAAAGAAGAGTATTGAATACATTTATTTAAGATATGAGTACCAAGCCTTGGCCAGGAGGAAAATCTAATAGATATTCTGCATTTAACTTTTAAATGTCACTGAAATAAGTCTTTGTGGAGTATGAAGCTTCTGGTAACATGTGTGTGACCCCTCTTGCCATTTACAATTGAATGCTACTTTTACATATGGCTAAACATTTCTGAATTTTGAGGGTTTTTTTCAGAATCTTTACCTCATAGCATGATTAGCTGTTTTAAGTTTCAGATTTGAACTTAACACTTGATCACAGACAGGTTTATTACTTGCTTCTTACAGACTATAAATGAGAAACTTTCACAGTTCCAGTGTAAAAATGGAAACAAAACCTAGTCAGATCCATGGGTTTATCCAGCTATTAAAATGAAACTTCAGTAGTGGCATATTTTCTGCTGGAACTATGACATGCTTCTTTAAAAGAGCTCAAATTTTCTTTGCAAATGGAATAGCCCAAGGATCTGTAGCAAGCATCCAATATTCTGTTATTCATGTGTAGCAATGCCAAGAGTAAAAGGGAAGGAACTGTTATTTAAAAGTCTGTGGAGACAGTACTTGCTTATTTTCTTTAACTCAGATGATGAATCTGCTTTTAATATATGTTGAGAACAAAGCAGTTCAGACCATTACACTTTCTAAACAGAGTATATGAAGAGAGGCTCTTCGTCATGCACTTGAATGAGGTGCTTGTAGGCAATACATGTCTAGCACACCAGCTCTTCAACTTGCAATCCCCACATTGTAAATGTCTCCAAATATCTACCACACGGAAGAACTGTTTCTTCATCAATGAGGAGATGACAGGTTATTCATTTTTTTGTTTGTTTGTTTTCAATAAAATCCCTTCATGGATTAAACAAGTAGCAAGTTAATCACAATGGAAAATATATGAGATTAAAGAAGAGACACAAAGGCTCCTCAGGGTGCATGATTTCCCCTTTTGCCCATTTAAAACCCTTATCCAGCTGGCGTGAGCACAGATGGTGCATGATTCCTCCTGCTCTTCATTCTCCTGGCTGGGGCAGTCATGTTTCGAAAAATCCTCATCAGAAAGTATGGGAAGATAGTCCTTCTACAGCAAACTCATCTACAGTGTTTGATAGCTTGTCTTCAACCCTGGCATGTCATGATGGTGTTCATCTGCAGTACCCATGGGTAAGTTATCTCTGTACTATATGGCTGGATTCAGTAGTTCAGATATGACTTTAATATTTATTGTCTGCGTTGGCCTACAGTGGTAGGCACTTTTTCCCCCTTTTTTTTCTAAAAGGGTCAAAGATATTAGGCAATCCCAGTCTGCCCTTCAAGCTGGGTTGCCCCCATCTAGCAAGTGCCTGACATTATCTGATCGTGCAGTGATGCTGAGAGCCTATCGGGAATGTGGGAGTCCTGGCTTCAGTTTCTGTCTGTGCTTGATGATTGAATCCACAACCCTTGGGGGCTAAGAGGTATTTAGGGTAGAGATATTCCAAATATTAATTGGATGCAGAAACTGGAAACCAGAATTGCCTTCTCCCAGATAAATGCTGAATCAGGTTAGGTTCTGGAATGATATTTGTTCTTACTTTCTGCTTTTTGTCTATGACCTCATAATAAGGATGTAACAGCAAATTATACACATGCGATTTGTCCATTTATTTGAGGAAACAAATAGTTTCAATTCCGTGGAGAAATTTTATGCTGATTTTCACTGAATAAACCAATACTGGGGTTTTTATTAGGCTTTTCACTATCTACAAACAGGTAACCAATCTCCATCAGCTTCCAAGAACACTGCAGTGTTTCTCATCTTTATGGTTTGACAGTACACATTAAGAGAGAGGGGCTTCTACTTTGTGATTTTTTCCTCTTCCACAAAATGCAGTCTGCAAAATACAGCTCTCTTATGTTAGGAATATAGTCAAAAGAGATTAGCTAGATGTCAAGTTTTAAAATTGAGCAAAAGCCATTTAAGCTGAATGTTTCTGTTTGTTTTTTGTTTTTTTTTTTTTTTTTTTCTGTAACAAGAAAATTCCTACTTTTGGTCATTATTTCATAAATAATAATTAAACATAATCATGGCTATACCTTTTTAGAATTCTCCAATATTTCTCTTTGCTTTGAATTCTTTTATCAGTTTACTGTTTAGTGCTAGACAAGCAATATTGATAATTATATATTTGCCATTCAGAGCTGGCAAATATATATATTGTGAATAAATTCTTTCCCAAATGTAGTGATGTTTATATTTGAAGAAGTAAGGGATACAAGTAAGACAACAGGTAAGGGGTACATTATGGAATTGAAATTACAATAAATTTTTAGGCAGTTATACTGCAGTTATTCAAGTTATAATTTGGTGTTATCATCTGTGCTGTGTTTTATGTTTGTTTTCAACTTCCTAACATGAATTTTGCCTTCACTAAGTGCAGTACGTAGTACAAATAAAATCTCTACTACAACTATCAAAGTAAATAGGCATGATCCACAGACTTAGTATCTCAGGGGGTTTATATCATCTTTATCTGCTAAACAGAGTTAACATTCACCCTGTACATGTTCCCTCATATATCATAAGGACCCATTCTCAACACTTACATGGCATTATTGGTAGCATTATAATGCCAAAATTCTGTATATTATTTCTGATACTAGAATAACATGGACATGCTGCTTATTGTAAATTAGGACAATAGTTTCCAAGCACCTCAACCTGATCAGTGAGTTGCTCTGTTCCACTTCAGGAAAGCTCCCTTCAATACATGATGGGCAGTGAAATTGCAGGGACTTGATAGATTTGAATGAACCCATTTATATGAAGACATAAGGAAGAAACAATCAGAAGTTCAAAGGTCAGAACTCCCTGTTTAATTTTTAAATTATTTCCAAATATTACAGAGGTTTGCAGTATCAACATTGTGCTCAGTTATTTGCCAGCAGTCATCCTATGTATATTTGATATGGGATAATTAGCAACTGGCCTTGAGAAGTGCAGCCCTTTCTACCATCTGCACGATCAATGTTAGAAAGTGTTCTACATCCCAGGGATAGCAATGTATTTTCTGAACAGCTCTTGATTTATTAAAAGGGGTGTAATGATCATGAAAAGTGCTAAACTTACAGCCTTCTATTGACAGTGGTTCTGTTTAGCTTCATTAGTTGTGATGCTAACATCTGTCTGGTGAGATGGAGGCCACCTGCTCATTTTATCTAAGTTCTGATAATCATCAGTTGCTAAAGACCCATATATTCAGCACATTAAACAGTTCCAATGATAAAAAAGATAGTATTTGTAATTTCTTATCAGCCTTCCAATTTCATCTGTTACTGCAATTATTTTATTACAACTTCGTATAATCCTTTGAAAGCAGGCAAGAGTAACAGTTCTTTGTCGTTTCAAG